TTACTTCCACAAGCCTGATTATGGTCGACTACAGGAGGATGCAGGGGAGAAGTTGATTATAGGTCTGTACTTAAGAGAAAGTCATTAAGTATAAACAAGCCAAAGATGTGTGGTCTATTTTGGGGTTTCCTGGGACCTGATGACTCATACTTATACAGAATATGTTTTTGTCTTTGTGATCTCTCAGGTAACTCACACTTTTATGTTCTTTTCTTAATAGGTAAAAAAAGTAATAGAAATTCTTCCTATTTTGGTGCCTTGAGAATAGGACTTTGTATTTTTTCCTTTCTTTTAAATTTAAATTTTATCTATCTATCTATCTATCATCTATCTATCTATCTATCTACAGTCATCTATTTTCCATTGCCACAGAACCCACATCATGTCATCTCCTACTCACTAGTCTGAAAAACAGACACCATTTTGACTCTTATTACAATCACTTCCTTGTAAAATTATATGGAAAGAGATAGATTATGGCTTCTTCTTATTGTCAAAACAATCTATATCTCTGAAAAGGTAATTAAGATTTTTCTGGAAGTATAAGCATTATGAGAGACACTTAATTTAATTCATATATAATATGTGGTACTGTATACTATGACAATGTAGCAAGTAGGAAGCAGAGGATCTAGGGAAATGTACTGATTAACTTCTGTGTTACAGGCATTATATTTATGTCATTTTTAGTTTAGTTATTGACCAATAATTCAATAAGAGGAAGATACTAAAATTATATATTTTCTAAGGTACATGCCCCCAACCGGATCCGAACCCTGGACTCTCTGGTCCACGGACCAATGCTACAACCGCTGAGCCAAACTGACCAGGGCTCATGCAAACATTTTTATCTGTCCTCTCCTTTTTAATAAGAGTGATATCCAACCCTGACTGCCTAGGTAAGATCTTTGCCAAGAATAGTAACCAAATGACAAAGTGTTAATCATTGCATCTTTTTACAATTGAAATTAATTACTACTGTTGAAATTTCTTCATTCTTTCTATTTCTACAATGTGCTGAGAATTTGTTTTAGAAGAAAGACTTATTGTCATACAATATTTTAGTGATTTCCTCTAAAATTCTTCAATCTGAATTCTTCAACTTGGGTCATTGACTTTGAGAATACCTGTAAATGGGTAGACCTCAGGATCAATACTTGCTTCCATGCTTTTATTTATAGTTTAACTAAGCATGTGTTCCTAAACACTCTTTTTAAAATTGATTTGAGAGAGAGAGAGAAACCAATCGGTTGCCTCTGTACATGTCTCAACTGGGGATTAAACCCACAACCCAGACATGTGCCTTGACACCCAACCAATTGAGCCACATCAGTTAGGGCTTTAAACACTCTTGTTCAGTGTTTCCTGCTTTCCTTTTGTATTTTACATGAATGTAATCAGTCAGCATCTTGTATTATTTGTGTGTGACTTAACATTATAGTGTAAGATTTTTCCATATTGTCAATCTTTTAAAATTCATACATTCAGGTGAAGGCTTAGTAGTATTTCATAATTCTAATAAGCATTCCCATAAATTATTTTCATTGTGAACAGTCTTTGTTGAAAAGTATGCTGTTGTTTAATAAAAGAAAGGAAAGAAAATAAGCAAAATGAAAAAAAGGAAAAGAAAGATAAGCAATGGAAAAAGAAAAGAGTACGAAGTGATTTTTTTATAACAAAGGTATATTTTTCATACATGGTAATTGCTGTCTTGAGTGAGTTGTCTCTCTCCTCCATAGGTTCTGCACTGGGATCTAAGCCAATGAAGAAGCCCCTTTCTGGACATTGCTAGTCTAATGCCAAATGGAAAGAAGAATGTGGCAGGTACACCTCGTGGATTAAAGCTTTAGTTCAGATGGCACATGTCACTTTCATTCATATTTCATTGGCCAAAGTAATTTGCATAGTGAAGCCTTTTATCAGTGGGGCATGGAAGAAAATTTTGTACAATAATACAGTCTATCAAATCCTCTTTTGTGAAGTGTCAGTTCAAATCACTTACCCATTTTTCTCCTTCATCAGCTTACCACAACCCATGTGTTAGTGCTTTTACTTTGGTTTTGTAGGTCTTCCTCTATTTTATTTATTTTTATTTTATTAATTACTTTTATCTTTATATGTATTTATTATAATATTTGATATGGCCTCTTATACTGATTTCTTGTGATGCATGCTTAACTTATTATCAACATTCTCTTTTTTTTTTCCCCTCATCCAAGGACACCTTTCCATTTTTTGTACAGATAGAGTGGGAGGGAGAGAGAGAAAGAGAGAGAGAGGGAAGCCTCAACGTGAAAGGGACACATCGAGTGGCTGCCACCCGCACGACCAACCAGGGCCGGGGACAAACTGCAACGGAGGCACATGCCCTTAGCGGGAACCGAACCCGGGTCTCTCTGGACCGCAGGCGGACACTCTAACCGCTGAGCCAAACCGGCCAGGGCAACATTCTCTTTTTTAACATATACATTTAATGGTATACATTTTCCTCTAATTTAAGTTGTATCCCACAAGGTTTAATTGTGCTATTTTTATTAACATTCATTTTAAATGGTTTTTAAAATTTTACATTATGAATTTTTAAGATCAGTGAGTTATCTGATAGTTTCCAAACACATTGAGATTTCTTAATTATCTTCTCTCATTTATTTCTAGCTTAATTGTGATCACACAAATACATCATATAATTTCTATCTCTTCAACTTTATTGCCAATCATATTAAATCATAGTCTATGCTATCTGTGTAAAGGTATATTGTAGTTAGTACTAAAGGCAATGGCCTACATGTACTTGTTAAGTAATTTGCTAATCATTTTGGTCTAGTGTAATATATCAAGTGGTATAGAAAAAACTCAAATTGACTTTCCTGAGCCTCTTGTGCTCATCTTTTCCAAAATAAGGATCAGTGTGACACCATTTTGGGAGCATCAAATAAGCCATGGTGGAAATTTTACACCACAGAACTCAGTAAATACTATAGACCAGGGCTTTTTTATTTTTGAGGGTCAGTTATTAAACATTTACTGGCACACTATTGGCTATATCTTTATGTGTATATATGAACATGCACAGTACCAGTCACTAAGAATGGGTGTGTTAAAACATTCACCAAAATTGTGTATATCTCTATTTATTCCTGGATGTTAGTCAATTTTTGTATTACAGACGTCAAGTCATTCTAAACTTAGAATTGTTACATCGTATTGCTGAACTGAATATTTTATAACAATAAACTGTCTCTGTTTATCTTTAGTGATGTGTTTTGCCTTATAGTCTACTTTGACTTTACCAGCAATACCAGGGTTGTTTTTGTTAGTCTTTCCCTGGGATATATCTCTCCATATTTTGCTTTCCATACTTCTGAGTCCTTATGTTTAGAAATGTCTCATGTAAACAGAATATAATTGAGTTTTTTTAATCCAATCTGACAGCCTCGTTTTATAAATGGAGTACTTAGTTGATTTACATTTAATATTGTTACTCACATGTTTCAGTTTAAATTTCCCATTGTATTAAGTGATTTCTCTTTGCTTCATTTGTGCTATGTCTTTCTTTTCTGGAAGTGATTCTATGCATTTTAGTGTTTCATTTTTTTCTTTTCTTCCAATTTGTATTCTATAAATTTACTTTCAAGTGAATATATATTCAGAAAAGCAGAACTTGAGAGGATACTGTGTATACCTAAATTAGTATTAGAGAGAGTAAATTATAATATTTAGGAAACACTTAATTTTTAAGCTAATAAAAAGAAAAAAATGAAACAATAAAATATGCACATAATCATTCCCAAAAGAGACAAGAAAGGCGAGAATAAAAGGCGACACAGAAGAAAAGAGAAGTTATTTTTTTTAAAAAGGTAATTTAAAGACAAAAATATTTGAGTAACAATAGTAAACCAAATGTTTTATTTATAAAACAAGATTGTCATGTTGGACAAAACATACAAAAAACCCCCCCACAAAACCACAATTATATTCTGTTTACAAAAGTTTCACAGTTTTTTCACAAGTCTGAGACTAATAACTCCAATATCTGTAATACCCATAGGTCTTTTTCTATTTTCTATTGTATCTCCAGATTTTGTTCATTTGGCTCATTTACCTGGGCTACCAATTATTTTCATAGTCTGTTAAGACATTGGATTTGCAATATTGTCTATAGAAATATTTTAATACCTAGCATAATATTATTCCTCTAAGAAGTACTTATATTTGTTTCTGCCAGTGACCTGCAGGAAGTAACCATTCAGTATCACAACACTTTCAAGTACTGAGCTGATTGGAAGATGAGTTGACATCTTAGTGACAGTTTATTCTTTCTTGTTCAGATTTATGCCTAAATTGCTGTCCTTTGGTAGCTCAAACTTCATTAAGAAAGTTCATCAAGGACCTTATAAAGGGTCCTTTGATTCAGCTCTATAGTCCTAAGGGTGCTAGTCTGTTATATTGACCCTTATCCACTCTCTCTTCAATTTTCGGAGTAATGGAGCTCCACTTTCATTGCTTACTTCTCTGGGCCTCTGTCTTTCTGCTAATTAGTTCTTACTAATTATTTACCTTGTGATTTTTTTACCTTACATTTGAGAATTTAGAAATATTCTTCTAGCGGAATAGTTGATCCAATTTAAGTAGTTCACCACTATTGAAAAGCACAGTTCTTAATAGTGAATTTATTTCAATTGTTTCATAGCAAATTTATATAATTGTTTTAATTTCTTATTTTTTCTTTAAACAAGCTTATTTAGTCTTTATATTTATTAAATCCCTTTCAAGAGTACGGAAAGGTCTCTGGCCGGTCAGGGTCATGTGGGAGGCAAGCGACAGGTCTCTCTCACATGGATATTTCTCTTTTGTCTCCTTCTCTCCCTCTTTTCTTCCCTCCCTTCTATGCTGTCTAAAAATCAATTTAAAAAAATATATCCTTGGGTGAGGATTAACAACAACAAAAAAGTAGGGAAAGGAATCATCTCCATTTTGCACATAAAATCTTTTTTTTTTTTTTTATCTGCAGCATTGCCGGAGGCACTGCAATACCGAGTTGATGAGTGGAGTGGATGGAGCAAGCTCCTATTCCATCTCCCTGCTCCAAAAATACATTTAATATATTGTCCTCGGATAGAAGACGTATCAGATATTAAATTTATAAGAACAGATACTACACTTGACCTTAGCCAAAAGGCTGGGAAGCCATTACACATGAAATCTTTAAGGCATAGAATCTGAGGCATAAAGATTATTAACAACTGTATATCTCACTAAGATGGACAACTGGGGATAGAGTTTGATTACTGAACTTCTTTCTAATTTTACTAATGCTCAGGACTCGTCAATGTTGTAAACTTTAAACAACACTAGTTAATTAGACTTTAGATTTCTCCATGTTTATTAATATATAGCAAGTGAAACATTACAACTGAAGTTGAAAATATGGCAGCTAATCACAGAATTGTTTCTGTTCTTACTAACTTGCTAACAATTGTATAGGTTCTTCATTTTAATACATCCACCTTGGCATATTTTCATTTTGTTTTTGCATTTTAATAAGTATTTGTACAAATTAAGAATCAGAACAAACATCCAATACCTTTTTATAATATAATTATAGTCAGCAACCTTTATCATTTCTTTCTAGAAACTTTCTTTGATAACCAGCAACTTAAAAATCTCTCTATATATTTTTTAAATAAGAAGAAAGCAGAGTATTATGTTTTCTAGAAGATCCAAGGATGTATTTAAGGAACAGCTCCTGATCTCAAATACGCTTCCAAACTAGTAGAGAACACATGTATATGTTATAAAATGAAGATACTGAACTGGAAGTGAGGGTGATAATGAGCAAAAAGTGAGAACAGTGCTGATTGTGGAGTGAATAGGAATCTATGTCATCTCAAAAACTGGTAATACCCATTAGAGTGACTGTTTCTCTTAATTCCATGTAAGTAGCTTCAACAAAGATACAGGATCTTGGCTTCAAGTACAGTGGGAGAACTGGTATATACTATTAAGATTTCTCCTTTTTATTCTACCCACCAAATGGTTGACCTTAAGAGTAATATAACTTCCCTAGGCACATGTCTTGCTTAGGTGAAAAGTTCTTGTCATAGAGTAAATTCTCAACAAACTTTTGTTGAAATGGGTAGGATTCAGTTGCAGATCTTATTATTTTAAAAAACATAAAGGACCTATATCCTTTCTAGCATTGTTCTATTGAAACTGAAATTCTTTAATATATATCTTTTTCTTTTTCTTTTTTGCACACTAGTGATTTTTCATAAGAAACAGTTGCAACTAAAGTTTTATAAGGAACAGTTGGATTTCTGGTTACAGAAAAGTATGATAATTTCCATGTAGAACATAAAACTATGAAATCATCTGCATATCCATTTATCTGTGGCAATGCATTTCACTTGGGTATATGTGACAGAGAATGATATTTTAATACTGTAGAGCTTAAGATTTATTTTGAAAGAGTAAGAAAAGGCATTTCACAATCATATAACCTACCCATTGGATCCTGTCTTCACGCGTTATAGCTTACATTCTCAGGACCATAGACTGGGTGGTACTCATATCTACAGACAGTATTATACAGATGCATCTGATAAAATCAGGAGAGGAAAAATTTTTTTTAAATTACATAGTGACTAAACCTAGTCTATGGAATTTACAACTTCTTTATATACACTGATTTGGTAAAATAACATAAAAATCTGTAATAATGTGATCAATAGAGGAATTATTATACATGATTTTAGCCATCAGGAGAGAACTGGATATATGAAAACAGAACAATGCTTTAGTTCTCCATGAGGGTCATCCATCTTCAACATCATTGCAAAATACTGGTAATGTGATTAGTGGTGATATAAGTTTACAAGAGTTTTTAATGTCGTATTAAATTTGACAAAATTTGTCTGGCTGGTGTGGCTCAGTGGTTGAGCGTTGACCCATGCACCAAAAGGTCACCGGTTCAATTCCCGGTCAGGGCACATGCCCAGGTTGTGGGCCCGTTCCTCAGTAGGGTGTGTGCTGGAGGCAGCTAATCAATGTTCTCTCTCATCTATGTTTCTATGTCTCTCTTCTTTTCCATTCCTCTCTCTCTATAAACCAATAAAGAAAGAATATTAAATTTAGCAAAATTCTATAATAAAACTAGTTCAGTCCTAGCCAGTTTTTCTCAATGGTTAGAGCATTGGCCCTCAGACTGAAGAGTGACAGGTTTGATTCCCAGACAAGGGCACATACCTCGATTGCAGGTTCAATCCTGGCCCTGTGATGTGTCTTTCTCACATTTCTCTCTCTCTCTCTCTCTCTCTCTCTCTCTCTCTCTCTCTCTCTCTCTCTCTCTTGTTCTCTCTCTCTCTTTGTCTCTCCCCCTCCTTCTACTCTATCTTAAAAAAAAAAAAAATCAGTGGAAAAATATCCTCAGGTGAGGATTAAAAAACAAAACAAAAAACTAGTCCAGAAAATATTATAAGAGAAATGAGAAGTCATTTTATCATTTGTTTATCTTACTCTCTGACCTGTCCTCCCTTTCCTTAAAGGAAATATGACAGGGTTGTTAAGATGATATAAAAATGACAAGGAGTGATCCAACAAGAGGGAAAATAGAATACTTACTATTTATGTAGTGTGAAGGAAGCAAGAAGAATTGCTACTTTTTGATCCACGTCCATAAAGGAAGGTAATCACTACTTCTCTGTGTTGTGCGATTATAGAAATGTCAGTACAATTTTAAGATTTTATGTAGCCCAGGGGTGTTTTAGCTTAAATTGGATTTAGCAAGAATAGAAAAGATTTAAAGATAAGCCAGGAAACAGTCATTTAGTGTGGTAATCAAGCAGAATTCTTCTAAAACGAGAAGTAGTATGAGTACTACAAAAAATACTTATGACATTTCCAGTTTAGTGACTAACCAATAATTCACAAAAGGAACCTACTAAAATTAGATATTTTCCAAATTTTATGGAGGTTTTTCTGAATAATCTGATAGATGGTATCTTTTACTGTTCATGCTACATTTTAGATTCCCAAGGCAGTAATTTAGGGATTTTTATGGGAAGGAGAAAGCAATTAGGGACATCTGTATTGCTCTGGGCATGACCCAGACATTTTTTACTTGTTCCCTCCCTTTTAATGAGAGTCATAATATTAACCCTGACTGTCTAGGTAAGAACTTTGTCAAGAACAATAATAAAATTACAAAGTATCATTTTGCAATTAAAACTTAATATCACTGTGAACATTACTTCTCTTTATGCAACATGCTGAGAATTTGGAAACTGGACTTATTGGCTTATAATAACCTTATCATTGCTTTCAGTGTAGAATTCTTTAATCAGGGTCCATGAATTTTGAGGAGATCCACAGATTGATGGACTTCAGGAACAGGAGCACAATTTTATGAAGTTCATGGCTTTTTCAAATTCTCAAAGGAATTTGCTTTCCCCAAAGCTAGCACTCAATTGGGAGCATGATCCTTATATTACTACATAACATTTTGAAAGAAAGGAGTGTGAAAAAAAGACATATCCTAGAATGATATATTTTAAACTATCATATAAAATACTTTGTATAGTTTTTAGAACACTTAAATGCATATTATTTAAGCACAGCAAACAGGAAGAAACAGTTCTAGGTAACTAAAATGTACTGATTGCCTACTATAATTCAGGCATTATTTATGTCATGTCCACCATAAACATTTATTAATTTTTGTAGAACAAATTTTATACTTATACATAGCTAAACATAATGACTGCTTGAGATAAAATGGTTTACTTGCCCTGGCTGGTTTGCTCAGTGGTTAGAACATCAGCCGGCGAACCAGAGAGTCCTGGGTTCAGTCCCCGCGAAGGGCACGTACCTCGGTTGCAGTTTGTCCCTGGCTCTGGTTGGAGTTGTGTGGGTGGCAACCACTCAATGTGTCTCTCTCACATTGATGTTTCTCTCTCTCTCTTCCTTCCTCTCTCACTCCCGCTCTGTCTGAAGATAAATGCAAAAAAAATGCCCCCAGGTGAGGATAAAAAAAAAATGGTTTTCTTTTTTCCAATTTAACTTTATTGTTGAGAATATTACAGATCTCCCCATTTTCCCCAAATATCAACATTAATTATACTTTAATCAAAATCACTGGATTTGGCAAAAGTTAATCATATGTGGTCCACAACCTCTGTTCTATATTATAATCTCCCTAGGAGTTTTTAAAGCACTCCAGAACATGGGCCCCTCCCCAGACCAATTAATCAAGAACTCTAGCCCTGGCTGATTTGGCTCGATGGTTGGACCATCGGCCTGTGGACCAGAGAGTCCTGGGTTCGGTTCCCACTAGGGGCACATACCAAAAAAAAAAAAAAGAAAAGAATTCTAGAGGAAGGCCTGGGGATTGGTAATTCAAAAAATCTCTTTAGGTGATTCCATTGTGCAGAGAGTTTTGAGAAACATTGTACAACACCTAATTATATCATTCAAGCAGTAAGTGCATTCAAGAACAATTTTACTTAACTTTATTCTGACAAACTCACATTTCATTTATTTATTATTCATTAGATATACCTTAATAGAATACCTGCTGACAGATAAGTACTTTGTAAGGTGTTCACAGTGATGAATGTTTGGGTTTTATTCTTAAGTACTTGATAGACCTAAAGGTAAAATGATTATTCTATTTGGGCTTGAAATATTATTCATAGAAAGTTACACAAGTAGTTATAGAGAAAAGCAATTTTTAAAAATTCTTTGTGGTTTTGATATATTTGGGTTTTTGAAATAGTCTTCAGACACTTACAAACATTTTTTTCATTGTCATTTCATCAAATTGTCAAAAATTTAGCAGTTTTGTAATACTTCCTACGCAGAACACTGAACTCAAGCAGAGTAAAACACTTTACCTTGCTAATTTTTTTTTTTACCTCTAATGCATTTTAAAATCTTATTTGAGCACTCAGTAGAGTCCAGAAATCCTTCTATATTTCCCTATAAACTATGTTTTAAAATGCTTTTACAGGTTAGAATTAATAAATGAGTTCAGCCATGTTGCAAGGTCAAAATGAATATGCAAAAATTGATTATATTCTATACACTAGCTATAATCAATATGAAATAAAATTAAGAAAACAGTTCAATTTAAAATAGCAGTAAAACTGTCTGGTTGGTGTGGCTCAGTGGATTGAAGGTCTTCCTGTGGACTGA